ACTGCAGAGTCCTGGCCTGTAGATGAGTGTAAACTGCAGAGTCCTGGCCTGTAGATGAGTGTAAACTGAACAACAAGGGACCATCAGAGTTAGGCTGATGGTCTCTTTTGCACATGAACAGGTTTGATTATCATCTTGTTTGTCCACCAGGCTGAGTTTACCTGAAACTCCTCAGACTGAAGAGGTTAAAGGGGCAACATCATGTAAAAAACAACTTTTTTGAGCTTTATATCCTGTAGTAACATCATTCCCTCATCAAAAACATTTTCATAAGCATTTTCATAACAGCTAAAGGTGACATAGTTACCTTATTATGGTACAGAATTGAACTATAAGCCTGAGAAACACATAACATTGGCCCTTTAAAGGTTTCAATGAATAATCCATCCAAAGGACTTAACTCTACTTTTTTAGGCAGGTGATAATGTTTTTACCCGTGTTTGTGTCTTCACTTGTCCGTCGTGTTAGCAAAATATCTGATAACCCACGGACTGGATTTTAATTAACCTTTCAGAAAGTAATCCTCACATCTGCAACTGATTGACCTTTGGGATCTATTCAAATCAAGATGGCTGCCACAGCTAAGCAACAACACAAAGAAGTGTACAGCTCAGTCAGTTGTAGAGTACTGAGCTAAAGTCTGATATGGTAGTAGCTGAGAGTCATCTCTAAGCTCGTATTCACACCTGATAGGCCACTTTGATTGGGGACCAAAACTGCAAGATATGTTTACGTTTTCAGTGAATGTAGTTCACATTCACACTGCACTTTGTCAAACAAACCGTGAACAACCTGTTCCCTCCCTCGACTGTGGTGGCACTGCACCCAGAACCACTGAAGGAATCAACACAACAATTTAAGAAGACATGAAACACAACTTCCTTCTTCACAAAATGTAAAACAWGGAGTGACGTCAGATTTTAGTTGATATAAGATTTATTTTTGTTTTTGGCAAATTCGMCTCACAGTCTTCAACATTGGGCTGAGAATGTGAGGAAGATGAGGAGGAAGCGTGGAGATTGTTGTTGAGACGGCTCCATGTGAGGCAGCGTTCACAGAGTAGGAGYACRTCTACCTTCACAGCAGTGATGTCCACCTTATACAGACGTCCAGCSAGGTATTTACAAGATATGAGTAACTTTGTTACTGTTATTACCCAGAATGCACTGCGTTATAGTCTACCTCCTGCTTTTGGAGCGGTCTCTGGTCTGCTTGGTGTTCACACATGCAATCGAACCACACCAGAGTTCACTTCAACTGAACGTAGACCTAGGTTTTCAGGCGGACCAGAGTTCAGTTTTTTGGTTGACATCAGAGTTGGATTACGCGTTCACACCTCCCCAAATGAACCGGACTTTCTGTGCAAACAAACTAGAGCTGGATTAAAGCGGACTACACAGGGCTGGGTGAACGTAAAATGAGCTCTACACATAGCTGTGTTTCCATTACAAATGTGCACAAAACTTTGTCGATATTCTGTTAATGTCGAAAAACACAATTTCACAACTGCAGTG